ACTTCACTAAAATTAAAATTTTCTGCTTTGCAAAAGACACTATTAAGAGAATGAAAAGACAAGCCACAGACTTGCAGAAAATATTTGCAAAATGCCGATCTGATATAGGACTTGTGTGTCCAAAATATACAAAACACTCTTAAAACTCAACAGTAAGCTGGGCATGGAGGTGCATGCCTGTAGTTCCAGCTACTTTGGAGGCTGAGGCAGGATTGCTTGAGCCAAGGGGTTTGAGGTTACAGTGAGCTATGATATCACCACTGCTCTCCAACCTGGGTGACACAGCGAGACCCTGCCTCTAAAAAACAAAAATATTCAACAGTAATAATAATTTTTAAATGGACAAAAAATCTGAACAGACACCTCACCAAACATGATAAACATGATGGCAGCAAATAGGCACATGAAAAGATGCTCAACATATGTCATTGGGGAATCACCAATTAAAACAATAATGAGATACCATTACATACCTATCAGAGCGGCTAAAATCCAAAACACTAACACCACCAAATCCTGGCAAAGATGGGGCACAACAGGAACTCTCATTCATTGGTGGGAAATAGAAAATGGTACTGCTGCTTTGAAAAACAGCTGTGAGTTTCTTACAAAGCTAAACAAAGGGTTACCAGCAATCATATTCCTAGATGAGTTAAAAACTTATGCCCAGAAAAAGCCTGCACATAAATTTTTAGGACACTTTATTCATAATTGATGAAAACTGGAAGCAATTAAGATGTCCTTCAAAAGGTGAATAAGCAAACTGTAAACTGTAATATATCCATACAATGGATTATTTTTCAGTGATAAAAACAAATGAGCTCTCAAGCCATACATCTAAAGACATAAAATAACTATAAATGCACATTGCTAAGTAAAGGCGCCAGTCTAAAAGGCAACATACTGCATGATTCCATGGTCCATGGCCAAAGTTAGCAAAACCTCTCAATATCTGTTTCCTAATTAATTACTCTTCTAAAATGTAACTTGAATATTTACTGATCTAAAGAAGTTCTTCTAAATTCCATAACATCTATTTATACATTGCAGCAAAAAAAGGCAGACTTTTTTTTTTTTTTTTCCTGAGACAGAGTCATACTCTGTCACCCAGTCTGGAGTGCAGTGGTGCGATCTTGGCTCACTGCAACCTCCGGCCCCTCCGCCTCCCGGGCTCAGGCGATTCTCCTGCCTCAGCATCCTGAGTAGTTGGGATTACAGGCATGCGCCATCATGCCCGGCTAATTTTTGTACTTTTAGTAGAGACGGAGTTTCACCTTTACTCCACCAAAAGTTTCTTATCAAGATCCCAATGACCTCCATGTTGCTAAATGTAGTGGTCAATTATGAATCCTCATCTCATTTGACTTACAGCAACATTTAACATAACTTATTTTTCCTTCCTCCTTAATCACTTTCTTCATTTCGCTTCTAGCACACCTACTGAACAGTGGGTTTTCCTCTGTTCACTGGCTGCTCCTTCACAGTCACCTTTGCAGAGAACTCCAAATCCACCCAAACTCCATGGAATATCTCTTTTGGTGATATCAACAACTGCTATCTAAACACTACTATAAAACCCAAAATTATATCTATTGCCAGATCTTTCTCCTTACTTCTGGACTCATTTATTCAACTGCCTCCTCCACCTCCACATCTCAATGTGAGTTTCTTAGAGGCATCTCAAACTTAACATGGCCAAGCTAAAATACCAACCTTTCCTCTCTCTCCCATTCATAAATCTGCACTTTCCCGTAACAGTAAATGGCACTTCCTCCATTCTAGTTGCTCAGGTTAGAAACTTTGAAGTCATTTTTGACTCTTACTCTCACACAATCTGTCAGCAAAATCTGTTGGTTACACTATCAAAACGTATCCAGATTCTCTCACCTGGATTATTACTTTAGTTTCCTAACCAGTCTCTCTGTTTCTACTCTTGCTTCCCCATGGTCTATGCTCAACACAATTTAAAAGAAATATTCACTTCAGGCCAGTTGCAGTGGCGTCTGCCTCTAATCCCAGCACTTTGGGAGGCAGAGGCAGGAGGATCGCTTGAGGCAATCACTTGAGGAGTTCAAGACCAGCCTGGGCAACACAGTGAGACCCTGTCTCTACAAAAAGACAAAAATTATCTCCACTTTTATGTAATTTTGGTTAAAAAAAAAAAAAGGAAAAAATACAAAATTAGCTGGGCATGTTGGTACATGCCCATAGTCCCAATTACCTGGGCAACTGAGTTGGGAGGATTACTTGAGCCCAGTTCAAGGATGCAGTGAGCTATGACTTCACTGCAGCCTGGGTGACACAGTGAGACTCTGCCTCAGGCAAAAAGAAAGAGGCCAGGCACGGTGGCTCATGTCTATAATCCAGCACTTTGCAAGGCTGAGGTGGGTGGATCACTTGAGGTCAGGAATTCGAGACCAGCCTGACCAACATGGTGAAACCCTGTCTCTACTAAAAATACAAAATTAGCCAGGTATGGTGGTGCATGCCTGTAATCCCAGCTACTTGGGAGGCCAAGGATGAAGAATTGCTTAAACTTGGGAGGTGGAGGTTGCAGTGAGCCAAGATTGTGCCATTGCACTCCAGCCTGGGCAACAAGAGCAAAACTCCATCGGAGAGAGAGAGAAAAAGAAAGAGAGAGAGAGAAAGAAAAGTAGTCATTTTAAAAAAGTCAGATCATGCCCTCATCTGCACAAAACTCTCCAATGCTTTCCCAACTCAATAAAAAATGTTAGTCCTTTCAGTCACGTACATGTTCTCCCACCATTACTTCCTTTCTCTGTGACCTCATGTTATTCTCTTTGTACTCATTGTGTTCCAGCCACACTAGCCTTCTTGCTATTTCTCAAATGTGCACTCAGGCTCCTGCCCGAGGCCTTTGCACTAACTCTCTTCATTAGAATGCTATTTGCCCAGGCATCTATATGGTTTATTCCCTCCCCTACTTCATATCTCCTCAATTGTCCCCTTCTGGATTAGGTCTTTTCTAACCACTTTATTTAAAAGTAAACCTAGCCCCTCACATCCTGACACTCCCCATTCCCCTTCCCAGTTGTTTTATTCTCCACTGCATTTGTCTTCATTTCATTTACTAAATGTTTTACATATTTATTTACTATCTCTTCTCAGTAGAATGTAAGCTCTATGACAGTAAGAATTTTTATATATTGTGGTCAGTGCTGTATCCTCAATGTCCTGTTATATAAAAGGGACTCAATAGAAATTTGTTGAGTAAATGTGTGGGTGAAATGGAATATGAGAACCAATGAGTGAAAAATGGTCTGTATGGTTGATCTGGAGAGCAGTATATGAAGTGAGTCTGAAAGAGTACCAGATGATGTCAGGCTTTATAAAGGAGTTTTGCCTTTATTTTAACAGTAGCAGGACACCACTGAATAGTTTTAACCAAGAGAAAATCTGATCAGATCTGCAGTTTCAAAAAAATCATTCTGGTAGCTATAATGGAGAACTAATGGAGGAGGGTCATTGTGAATAACTGCTACTGTAGTGGTCTTGAGAGATTACCACAGTTTGAAGACAGGTGGAGAGAAAAATATATTTGAAGGATATTTTGGGAGATAAGATTGGCAGAACTTGGTAATAATTTAGCCATAAAAGTATGAAGGGCAAGAAGAAATAAAGAATAATGTTTAGCTTTCAAATTTTCACAAGTAGATGGATGGTAGTGTCCTTTGCTGAAATAAGGAACACTGAAAAAGAATCAGATTTGTAACAGATAACTATGCATTTGATTTTAGGAATGTTGAGTTTGAGATGCTTTTGAGATATCCAAGAAGAAATATCCAAGAGATAGATATGTGAAAGCTGAGAGGTGAAGCTGAATGGAGCTATTCATTTGAGAGTCATAAGTGTTGGTGAAGCCATGGGTACACATGAGATCATATTTAACTACAGCATAAAAAGGCACCCAGCCTTAAGAAACTACCCTACCCTTTATGGGCTGGATAGAGGATGATCATCCCAAAAAGGAGATAAAAACGGAATGGTTTTGTTTTGTTTTCTCAATCACATTCATAAGTTATTCCCTTTTCAAAATTCGGATTCAAACTAGAAGTGTTAGAATGTAACAGGCTTTTGAAATTCGACCAATTCATCAGAACTATGCATCTATTCAAAAATAGCTCACTTACAGAAACAATGTAAAGAATTCACAATATCTGTCTCTTTGTAGCTTCAAAGTACATCAATACACAAAAAGCACCCTTCCCTTCCCACCCCACACCGCCAAGTATGTATGATTTGGCTTACTGACGTTTCCTGAAAGTACCCTATCTCTCGCTCTGGGCCTTAGCATATGCTGTTCTTTTGATCTTCATTTCCGCTGGGATGAAGATTTCCCTGGCTTTCCAAGACTGGGCTAAGTGATCTCCTTCTAGGCATCCCAGTGATATCATATAGTATTGTAACTGTATGTCTAACAACTGGTTCCTCTTAACTGGATAAGACTGTCTTTCTCATTGTTGTATATTCAGTGCCTAGCAAGATGAAAGTTTTAGAATTTAATGTAATGCAATTCTGCAACATAAAGAATTAAAATCTACACCGATTATCAGTCCACTGATGGCCGTTCAAACCTCGACTTTTCTCAAATAATGACTTTCTAAAAGCAAATAAAGCCCAGAACATCCCTAAGCAAAGGCAAACAAAGGTGCAAATGCGCAGAGATCCCAAATCCATCCCGCGCCTGCCCACAGAAAAGGGTGGAAGCAGAAGCAGCAGCCCGAAGCTCCAGTTTCCACAGCATCCTTCCTTCTTAGGCCGCTCCCTGCGACCCTCGGGATCAGGATCCCTAAATCCTCGCCTCACCCACCACACCCCGCGCTTGGGCAGCTGGACTAGTCCTTCCCACGCAAGCCACTGGAAAAATCCTTGGACTAAGGGAGGCCACGCTAGATGGCTTCGTCTCCAAAATCCCAGAGGAAATGGAGGAAGGAAAAACCCTGTCAAGGAAAGGTGACAACCCAGCCTACAGTGCTTACCAAGCAGACACTCTCAGTCAGCCCCTGCCACCGCTAACCGTTGGTTCGCGGGCAGCCACAGGCGACGTCGCAGTGGCCTCTGGGGATTGTAGTTTCTGTCGCAAACAAAACGCGTCGGCAGCATCAAAACTACATTCCCCACAAGTCAACGCGAAGACGTCCCACCGACTTAAATCTGGGGTTTGGAGTAATAAAGAGGCCGTCACTACTTTTACGGTGATCTTAAATGTAGACTCAATTTCGTCCAGGAGTCCCTTCGTGCCCTTTTTCTTTGTCGTGCTTGTTTTGTGTGTGACGAAGTCTCAGTGTACTTCTACGCCTTACTTTTTCCTTCCCCTTCTCCAGGACACACTCCAAACATCCGGGAACGGAAACCGCCCCAGGGCGCAAGCTTAGAGCCTCCGGAGGCGCTTGTGCCCTGTTCTAAGTCACGCATGCGTAGCAGCCGGCAGCGGTTGGCAGCCGCGCGCGGCGCACTGGGGGTCCGGAGGTAGCCTGCCAGAGGGCGGGGCTTTTTCCAATGGCTTTGCCTCGGCGGGTCGCGTCTGCCTGGGCGGGGAAGAAGGCGCTGGGGCCGGGGTGGCTCCCGGTTTGTGCCGGGCGGAGAAAGGGGAGGGGCTGGGGGTGAGGACCCCGTCTCCCCTCCCTGCTCCCGCCCTCTGGGCTGATCCCCACCGATGGGGCTGGGCGAAGGGCGGGCTTTGCGCCTTGGGCCCCGCCGCCCCGCCAGCTCCGCGGCCCAGCCCTGCGCTCGAGGATTGCCAGGGCCGCCCTATGCCCTCTGGCTCGGCGGTGGTGGGCGAGGGTGCAGGGATCCGAGAAGTAGCGTCTTCCCGGGGGTCCGGAATTGGCGGGGCTGGGGACGCTTTTTTTCATCGCCGCCCGCCGAGACAGCGGCTGCCCGAGACTGCCGCCCTCCAGCAGCGCCAAAGCCTCCGGCCGCTGCGGCCAGTGGGCCAGGGTTCGGCAAGCCTTCCCTGCCGGCGCCCGGCCGGCTGCTGAGGCGCTGGGAGGAGCTGCGGAGGGCGGGGACTGGTGTCGGAGGAGGGGCGGGGTGGGAAAGCTCGAGAGAACCCGGTGGCTGCACAGACAAAAAAGCCCCGAATGGCTGGAGGGCGTTCAACTGTTACCAGCCTTTTGGGGCAGAGCACGGATTTGACAGCTCCACAACGTGAGGATATCCGCTGACCCCGCGAGACGGAGGAGAACGCTTCCCCGAAATTCTCCGTCCACCAAAGCCAGCGCTGTAAGGTTGCAACTTTCCAACTTTGTTTTCCAGAAGGAAGACTGCCCTTTAGTGTACAAGGAGAGGGTGAGAGGGTGATCTAGCTTGTAGATCGGCTGAAGACACCAGTGGTTCCAAATGTTACCCATATGTGTGTTTTCATGACGATTTGATTTCTCTGATTTTATTTTTACATTTTTCATTTTAAAAACACAGAGTGATTTTTGGGGACATGCTGAAAGGTAACTGAAGACCGCAAAGGAAAAACTATTGTCATGGCTGAAGGAGAGAATGAAGTGAGATGGGATGGACTGTGCAGTAGAGATTCAACTGCTAGAGAGACAGCACTGGAAAACATTAGGCAAACCATTTTGAGGAAAAGCGAGTGTCTTCGTTCGGTGAAAGAAACACCTCATCGTCCATCAGACGGGCTTTCAAATACCGAGTCTTCGGATGGGTTGAATAAGCTACTTGCTCATCTGCTTATGCTTTCTAAGAGGTGTCCCTTCAAAGATGTAAGAGAGAAAAGTGAGTTTATTCTGAAGAGCATCCAGGTAAGGAAGAGCATTTTAAATACAAAACTGTCTCCCTAGTACAGTGAAATTTTATTTGCAATTATTCACGTTGTGTTTGTTTCTATTAGGTTGTTATGTAAACTTTGATTATGAGTTTACATCTTTAAATTAGAGTGTTCTGTAAGTAAACAAGTAGCGTTTTTCTAGAGAGTTTTAGGCAGAAACTGCTTTGCTCCTGGAAGAATATATGAAAACTACAGTTAATTCCAAGTAAATACTTGTTTTTCCTTATATTTCTTTTTACATGTTGTTGGGAAATGTAGCCATTGTGTTTTTTCACATTGTCACAGTGTTCTGAGTGGAAAGGCTCACATTTAAAAGCCTCTAAAATGATAAAGGGTATTAAATGTTTCCTAGTCAGCCCGTTCAATATAATTGGTGGAACAATTTTGTCTTATTTTTAAAAACAAAACAAACCAGGATGTGTTCTCTAAATGCAACCTCTCTTTTTTCAAGAAGAGAATTACATAAATAATAAAAAGCTCTCTTAAAAAAGCTAACATTTTCATGTTGAAAAGGTGGACCCAGGTGGGGTATTTGATAGAAGCACTTTTATGGCAAATTGCTCAACCAGCTTTCTCTGTGTTTGCCTGAATTGTTTCTTTTTCACATGTGTAGCTATTTAAGATATGAGTGCAGCAGGTTAAAAATATTATAGTTTTTCCTCCATTTTGTTCATAATTTATCTTGTTTTATTACAAGGTGTGTTAGAAGACTTTTTTAAAAAAAAGTTTTTAGATATTGAGAATATTCAGTAACACCTTATATATGCTTGTCAATCTTTACATTTCTCAATCTGCGTGTGTTGTCCAAAGTCATGTATGAGAGGTTCTTAAAATTTAAAATGTACTTGGGTAACTATGTAAGTTAAAATTGACAGTTTTTATATACTGGCTTGAATTTAGTTTAAAGCAACAGAAAAATAATATCGACAAAATGAAGACCCTATTTAAAATCTTGGGATATTCCTTCTCACTAACACTTCGGAAACAATTGTCACAATTCAGTTACCAGAGAGGAATTAATATACTAGGTAACTGAAGTTTACCCTTTGAAACACAAAAAGTTATTTCTCTATCTTCTAGACTGTAGTGGCTATAACAACCATTTTTGTCCATAATGGGGTCATCATTAAGCATATCGAGTATTGTGCAGCAAAGGGTGGAGGACTGACTATATGATCCATTCGTTTTTATATTTTTTGTGTGTAATTTTTATAGTTTTTCTCTTGTTTCCTTTGCCATCAGGATACTTGACTTTGGTCTCTTCCTGATCTTTCATTTTGCTGCTTAATTTATATTAGAATGGGAAACCAGATAACCGATTTTGTTAAGAGTTATATTGAAAATAAAAGTGAGCAGGCTCTGAGGAGTATAGTATCAAAGGATTTCAATATAATGATAAATACATGGATACTGGAGTCAGAGTTGGGCTCAAATTCTGCTCCTTTACTAATGACCTTGCCTGTAACCTTGGGCAAATTCCTTGACCTTTCTTAGCTTGAATTTCCACGTCTGTAAAATGGGAATAACAACACAGAGCTCTTGTGAGAATCAAATGAGATATAAAGTGCTCTGGTATATATAGTAGATGCTTCTCTCCCTTTCATAAGTGAAATACATAGACTATGCGATATATATTTCAAGACTCATTCATCCTGCAAAAGGACTCAAGAATTTCCTTTCCTGGGAAGGTTCCCTATAGACATACTCTTTTTTTGCATCTCTGCATCTATGGTACAATTATAACAGGCACTTTACTTATATTGTGTTATAAACACATGCTTATGTGTCTGTCTCCCATAGGAAGGCTGTGAGTTCTTAAGAGTATTGGCTGGGACCTGGAAGCTACTAAATAAATATCCAGTGGATGAACAAATTTATACTTTCCTTCTTTCTGTTTTTCATCAGTAGTCTGAATAGATGAAGTTTTCAATTTAGGGAGTTTCCACCCAGCATCATTCATTTATGCATGCAGTTTTGCAACAAATGTTTATTGAACCCCTGCTGAATGTCATTCTGAGAACTGAGGACCAGTGGTAACAATTTTGACATTATACCAAAGGGAAACAGACCATAAAGAAGTAAACAAATAAAAAATTTAATTTTAGATAGTAAGGGAAAGCTTTCCTGAGGCAATGACGTTTAAGCAAAGACATGATGAATGAATAAATATTATCCATGTAAAGGTGAGATTTGTGAGGGGACATTCCAGACATAGGGAACAGTATGTATGAAGGCCTCATGACAAGGAGAGCAAATGAGTTCTAGGAGCTGAAAGTAATGCAATATGGCTGGGGCAGACAGTTTGAGGGTGGCATGAATAGCTTAAGAGGACATACTCTGGAGTTTGGCAGACCTGGCTCCGATACTGTCATGTGTCACTTAATGACATTGATACACTCTGAGAAATGCATCATTGGGTGGTATCATATTTGTGTGAATATCGCAGGGTGAAATTACACAAACCTAGATGGTATAGCCTACTATACACCAAGGCTATGTGGTATATAGCCTGTTGTTTCTAGGCTACAAACCTGTACAGCATGTCACTGAACTGAATACACTTTAGCAATTGTAATACAATGGTAGGTGTTTGTGTATCTAAACATAGAAAAGGTAGAGTAATAATATAAAATTACAATTGACCCTTGAACAGCATAGGTTTGAACTGCATGAGTCCACTTATAGGAAGATTGTTTTTTCAATAGAAGTTATACTAAGTTGGGTGGGGTGGCTCACACCTATAATCCCAGCACTTTGGAAGGCTGAGGTGGAAAAATCTCCTGAGGTTAGGAGTTGGAGACCAGCTTGAACAACATAGCAAGACCCATCTCTACAAAAAGTTAAGAAAAAAAAATTAGCTGGGTGCAGTGGAGCACACCTGTAGTACCAGCTACTCAGGAGGCTGAGGCAGGAGGATCTCTTGAGCCCAAGAGTTCGAGGTTGCAGTGAGCTATGATTGTGTCATTGCCCTCCAGCCCTCTGGTGACAGAGCAAAACCCTGTTTCAAATAAACAAAAGTTACACTTGAGTGTGCCTGCCTTTTCTGCCTCTCCTGCCTATTCCACCTCTATCACCCCTGAGATAACATGCCCAACCCCTCCTCTTGATCCTCCTCATCAGTGTACTCAAACTGAAGACCATAAGAATGAAGATCTTTATGATTATCCATGTCCACTTAATGGTAAATATATGATCTCTTCATTATGATTTTCTTAATAACATTTTCTTTTCTCTAGCTTATTTTAGTGTAAGAATACAGTATATAATATGTATAACATACAAAATATGTATTAATGGACTATTTATATTATCAGTAAGGTTTCCAGTCAACAGTAGGCTATTGTTGGCTGAGTTTGGAGGGAGTCAAAAGTTATACACAGATTTTCAACTGTGTGGAGGGTTGGCCCCCTAACCCCCTTGGTGTTTAAGGGTCAAGTGTGTAATCTTATGAGACCACTGTTGTATATGGGGGGTCTGTCATCAGCTGAAATGTTATGCAGTGTGGGACTACTTTATTAGCTCTACAACTTTGAATAAGTTACATAATCTCTCCTTGATTCACTTTCCTCATCTGCAAAATGAGCATGATGCTTATGATTCCTGCCTCATAATGTTGCTGTGAGAATAAAATAAATGATGTTTGCAAAGCATAGCACAGTGCCTAGCATATAAGGAATGCTCAGTTAATGTTAGGTATGCCTACTATTACTCGGCAGAAACCAGACCCCAGAGGGGCTTGTAGGCTATGTTAAGGGTTGTGGACTTTATCATAGAAATAATGGAAGCCATTGGGGGATTTTGAGCAAGGTAGTGTAGTGATTGATAGTGCATCAGAAGGATCACTCTAGAAAATGGATTTCCATGGTCAAAAGTGGATGTGTGACATCAGTTGGGAGGTTGTCCTAGTAGCCTATGACAAAAGTACTAGCAGACTAGGATGTGAGGTAGGGCAGGAGGGAGTGGAAAAAATTAAAATGGGTCTGGTAGATATCAAGGAGTTAGAAACCACAGGATATAGTATTTAGTTGGATTTAGAAGATGAGGAAAATAACAAAATTAAGCGTGGCTCTAAAGTTTCTGGCTTGAGGTACTTGGTGAATTGTGCAGTTACTTTCTGAGACACAAGAGTGGCAGGGGGTCAATTTAGGGGAAAAATGAATGCTGTTTTAGACATGTTGAGTTTAAGTTGTCTGTGAGATATCCAAGTAGAAATAGCTCCTAAATGAATTTCTGCCCCCGATACCACTTTTCTAGTTCTGTCATTGCTATCTCTCACTTCTCCAGATTAAACTCACCCTCCACTTCTATATCTCTCCTCCACATAGCTGTAGAGCCATTTATCTAAAATGAAAATCTATGTAACTTTACTGGCAAAAGCCCTTTAGAATAGAATAGAATTTAAACTTCTATGTCACATAGTACCCAGCATTATCTGGCTTTACCTCTCCAGCTTCACTGCCTACCATTTTAGCTTCAGCCTTGCATGAGAAAGCAAATATTAATTCAAATGTAGCACTCCATAATGCTTTCTGTTATTCATTAGTAAAGCAGCAAAAGCTGCAGTGCATATGCAATTTCTGTAGTTGCTCCTCAAGGCCCTGAATTGCTGTAGGTCAGCTCGGAGGGCTATAGTTGGCAGGGGAGAAATGATGACAAGGTGGTAGAATGGATTCAATTCCAAGGAGCTAAATCTATTTAGAAAAAAAATAATGACACGTTGAGAGATAGCATCTTTTGTTTATACCCCAGTTCTCGATTTATTGATTCCACATCAACATGTTTAGATATATTGACATTTTTGAGAAATATGCTGGGCCAGACAGGCACTGTTCTTGGGACTTGAAGATCAGTAAGTGTTGTTTCCTGCTTTTGAAGAAGGTTTTCTAGTCTCATCCAAGGCTTTATTTATATTGGGTTTTTAAAGAAACTTAAGAAGAATTACACCTTTTGATACTCTGGGTTCTCTAAATAAGG